TGCTTGGCCAGCCATGGAATTCCCAACACCACGGCATGTGGAAGGTCCGTGACCAAAAAGGAGACCTCTTCCGCATGGTCCCCGACTTCCATCAGCATGGGCGCTGTATAGCGAGCCACCGGCCCGGCTTTCAGCAAACGCCCATCAAAGTTTTGTACATCCCGGGGAGGCTGGAGGTCTAAACATTGTAATCCAAGGAACTCCACAAACCGACTGTCCATGAAATTGTTAGTGGCCCCACAGTCGACCAGCGCGTGCACCGCCGTGGGAGTCTTTTTGGCCACACAAAACGAAACCAAGAGAAAAAACAGCATCCCAGTCGCGGGCTCCGGAAATGGGGTGGAGACCGAGTTTGCGAGCCCAGCTAAACTCGGTCGTTGGCTTCCCCCGCCGGCTGGTTGGCCCGTTGCTCACCGGATACCTGGACCTGGGGCGCCACGGGCTCCACTGAGCCGGAGATCCCCGCCAAGCGGGGGCTTGTCTTCTTCTTGACAGGGCACTCCCGAGAGATATGCCCGCTGCCCCCACAATACCAACACAGGTTTAGCCGTTGCCGTCGCGCCTTTTCCGCCGCATCAATTTTGGGGCGCATGGAGCCCAGCTGCATGGGTTCCTCTGCATCGGGCGCAGGAGGTGGCGGCGGACCCAAGCGATGTGGCACTCCCGCATCGGCCCTCTTCCGACCCACTGGCCGAGGCCCAGCAATGATGTGACGTTGATTGGCCATGGTTCCATCTATCCGGATGCATAGGGTCATTAATTCTTCCAAGTTGGCCAGGACAGCGGAACGGGCCACCTCCAACTGCATCTCCTGGGTGAGCCCCGCTTTGAAAGCGCTCATGTAGGCGGCATCGTTCCAAGCCAGCTCCTGCTGCAATACACGAAACTCCGAAATGTATTGGGCCAAACACCCCTCTCTTTGCGTTAGGGCACGCAGCTTACGATCCGCCATCTCCCGGTGCACTTGGCCTCCCCAAACTTTGTGCAGTTCATCCATGAAAGCCTTGACAGTGTTGCACACAGGGGAAGCGGCCTCACGTAGCGCGGTGGCCCAGGAGAGGGCCGGGCCCTCCAACAGACTGTAGGCAAAGCCCACCTTGGCTGCCTCATTCAGAAACTCCGCTTTCCGCACTGTGAAATAGGCATCACACTGTCCCAAGAAGTCCTTGACCCGTTGACTGTCTCCAGAAAACTTGTTGGGCAATGCCAT